TTAGTTTCCAATTCACTAGGTTTTCTTTGTTATTCATAGGGTTGTATATACCATAGAAACTTAAAGCCGGGGAGGGATTTGATATTCAGCAGGGAAATGTGGGGTTGATGAATTGAATTGAATAGCTCGTTATAAATTCAGCGGGCTATATATGAGTGACCGGAATCACTCACATATAGCCCGCTGAATTTATAACGAGTTATTCAATTCAATTCATCAACCCCACATTTCCCTGCTGAACATCAAATAAACTAAGTAAACTAAACTATTTTTCCCCTAAAAAAGACCAGTGCGGCCAGCAAAACTTGAGGAGATTTAGAGTGTAATAAGTTCGAGTCCCGCAGCTTTTCTTCATATGTTCATCAGAGAATAGAGACAACAATAACCAAGATCTTCGCCGTTACTTTTAAAAGAATCTATTCTTCGGAATTAACCAACGTGTATGAATCAGAAGAAATCGGTGTGACTTGGTCCATTCTATCCAAGCACGTACACACGGCCATTTGGTACTTTAGTTTGTTTCTTCTTGAATCCTTCCCTCGTATTTTTTCGAGCGAGTTCAACATCAAAAAAAGGCGCTTAAAAAGCGCATGTGGTTACTCCAAAAACTGTTGTTATGAATATTTTGAGATTTTAATATTGTGCTGTGTGCAGGAATGAATATTTTTAAAAGTTGACAATCTGATTTGGGAATTGCTGCAAATATGTTGGTGTCATTGGTGTCAGGGCAGACAGGTTTAAAGTCTTGGGACAGGTGACAGTTAACTGATGACATGTTACCTACTAAAATTACAATTACGTTTAAAGAGTGTGAGAAAGTAGAGTGTTCGCACTTAAAGCGTGAAACAAATAGTACTAATTACTACTAAATAGTGTTGATTATACAATAGGAAACAAAGAAATTTGTATAATTTATCACCTATTTTGCAGTATTTATATTAAAGCATGAAACAAATTGTACTAATTACTACTAAATAGTGTTAATTATACAATAGGGTATTGAATTGGTTCAAGGTCCAATACCTTGTCTGGTAAACAATCATGTCTTCAATAATTCTATTAAGAAGTTACTGAATAAAGTGACAATGACATCTGGGATGCACTAATAGTATCATGGACTAACATTTGACAGTACAACTGTTTTCTTTTTTTTTTGCACAATAGGAATGAGCCTATTTTTTTCTACTGTGAAAATCTTGCATGTAATAGTTGTATGTGCTTGATGTGTTCCTGATAGCTGTTCAAAGGGTTATTTTCCTCAATTGCAGAGCTATTCTTGGTAGTATTAATATATATACCTGAAAAATTAAGGAAACAGTTATTAATTTACACAAAGTTATCAGAAATATGAATCAGTGAKGATAGAGTGCTTATGTCCATCAGAGTAGAATAASTTGCATCAATAAAGTAGTTTCAATTCAATTTTGAAAGGTTTTTGATAGTTGTTATTACTTACTCTTTATGATATTATTTTATTCTGAACTAACAAATACTATTAAGTGAATACTTGTTCTTATTTGCAAATGGTAATGTCTTAATCAGCTGTTATATGATTTAAAATGTTTTTTTAAACTTAAAACTTCGTTCTTATAATTAGACTCCCGGCTGTTTTGGTTGATATATCCTCAGGAGGTTGATTTAACCCATAATAGGGTTTATTCACTTTATATTTGATTCGTTTTTGGCAGTTATTAGTTATTTTTTGGCATCTTTTGGTTTTCTTTTTGTTTGTCTGCCATTAGAAACAGAGGTGTTTCGATTGACATTCGTATTATAAACAATCGCTATCGATCGTGGATTTATCCTGTTATTCGGACATAAAGATCGGACTAAATTGTGAAAAACATTTAAAAAAACTTTAATCAATACAGTCAATACTTTGATAGATAAAGAGAGATAAAGAATATTTATAAAAAACAAAATTTACTTTACTTACCGACGCAAGTTATAAATCACGACGACGAAGGTGAGCATGTGGAAATCTTGACTCCTGAGCCAGTGTTTTTCTTTGGCAAGCGCCGTTGGCTAGTTGCCAAGGYAATGCAACGTCATGAGTGAGACAATCACGTGACCTTACTTACTAACAACTCGATGACAAAGTGGTTACCCGTCTTATAGACGGAGTAACCACAAAAACTATTGTAATTTTTCTCATTTTTTCCCATCTGCAGACTTTGTCATCGTTATTTGCGGGAAGAAGCATGCGGAGTTCCAAATCCGATAGCAAATCGTCAATATCAAAGTTCGTCAAAGGAATGATGTCAAACGTATTTTGAGCTATAAACAAATCGTCGTCACTGTTCGACATCGTTTCCAGAATGACTGTTAAGAATATTTGATAACAATATTCAAATTTCGATTGCTCGCTTTCGCATGAACAGGTTTTCTTAAAGGAAACTAATTTCAACAGTCCATGAAAACGTCTCAAGAGAAGAGGATTCTATTGTTMGAAACCCAACTAAGAAAACATTCATTGAGTCTATTCAGTTTTTGCGAAAACCACGTGAATTGAAAACTAAGTTTGTTAGTTACCTCGCACGTCGGCATTACGCTATATACAGCCCTCGGGCCTGCGGCCCTCGGGCTGTATATAGCGTAATGCCTCCGTTCTCGGTAACTAACTCTTACATAATCCTCCAAAACAAAACAAAAAATAAAATAAAGCAAAACGGAATAAAACAAAACAAAAAACATACATTTTATTCAGCATTAAAGGCATTCCATTTGATGAACGAAGTCCAAGCTATTTAGATATAATTATTGCAATTTTTTAATATTTTTGTACTTTAATGGAGTAAATTACAATATAATTTTATAGAAAGATCTGAAAGACATATTAAATGGCTAATATCAAACAAAATTGTCTGTTTCGGGAGGTAGACCGCAACTAATACATACATTTCAATGAGTTATTGTGGTATGTATTCAATAATCAATTGTCTCCACTGACAACCGTCGTTACAACAAATAGCCTAAAATCGAACATGTTAACAATTTTGCGCGCGCACGCCACTTAAACTATTCCTCGATAAAATTTTCCTCGTGCTTCCTCCCTCCCTTACACCTAATACACTTGTGACTTTCTTTTCATTTGTTGTCTATTCATTAACCCGTGCTTGTGACATTGACGGAGAGGGAGGGGAGGGAGGGGAGGTAGAGGAAACATTTCAGTAGATGCTAGCAATACAGTATTTGTAATGCCAAAGCACAATATTGTCAAGTATTTATGTTCAAGATGGTAATTTCTGGCTATTATGAAACTTCGAGCCAATCACAGATGCTAACTACCTATTCAAATTAGTTCAAAAATCAACAGGATTTTTGATGCGCATGAAGGCAAAGCAGATCATGAGTTTTTTTAGTTGGTCAACGGACATGAAATAATTGCAAGGACTATAACTCCTAACATGCGTTGTTTCACAAATGTCGTTAATGCGACAAGTGAAAAAAAAAAAACAACTTTACGTAACGGAGCAATATAGGTATTTTATAAATAATTAYATCATAAAATAACATACGATGAAATCTAGATATTTGGTGATGTTTCCTCTCCATTGACCACAATGTGAAAGYATGCCTAATTTGAATACGACCGTAATAAGACGACTGCCCGTAACTRTTCGTAATACGAGAGGTCACCCTACAGGCATGTTGTTAATTATACAGAATATTCGTGACAACGCGTCCGACAATGAATTTTATATTTATCGCTGTTCATTGTTACTTAATATGGCTTTAACAGTAAAAGTTCGCCTGTGAGCTTGGTCCTGATCTCAGCTTGAAGTCACTTTTGTTATTATAGAAGAAAGCATATACTGCGTTGAATGAGAAGACCGTGGGAAAGTTTGAACGCTAATACCAATAAGGCCAAACGAATAACAAACTAGGTTATATCTCATTGGGAAAATAAAATAATCTATTCAAGAAAAACTTGTTAATTTTGACCCTGGTTTTATTCATCGCCATTCTTAAAATTTAACTTAATAAAACTGCATTTCTAGATMTTTTTGAATACGTAGCTATTAGTGGCGCTTCATTGACTTTGCACACAGGCAGTCCATTCAACCAAAACGCCGATATTGTCATCACTTTTTATGTATTCATTCTGGAACTATCTGTTTCTATCCAATATTTGAAACTTTGCTCAAAATTGAAGAAAAAATATTCACTTTAGCATTGACGAAGAGAGGAAAAGAAGACTTTTACAGCTGTSAAACKSATTGGCTGGAAAATATACAAAAAYATTAGTTTGCAAACTTTGTACAGACATCAGCTGAGTTCTTTTCAATCATCTGGAAAGGTCTATCAACGCGATTCTATTTAAAGTTGATCTCCACTGCGAGKAAACGTTCTCTTATGTTTCGTTAATAAACGTCACAGCTTATATCGTAAGGTGGGCYYTACTGAACAYCATCACTGTCGCCAGCTTCATTCGTTTTTCGATGTCTTTCCTTTTAAGGTAAGTGCTGTCAAATATTCTTAACGATGTATATAAAATACAATGTTTATAAAATAGATAATTTATTAAGCTATAATAAATCATAATTTGAAGCTTTTATGTTTAATTAGTTAGTTAACTACGTACAGGTAGTATAAAGGATAGAATTTTAAGTCAATTGACACGTCAATAATATATAAATTATTATACATCCGAATTTTATCACTTTCTTTTTGACTTGATGACTAAACAATATAGTCYGACTAAACAATAGGCATTCAGTCGATGTTTAAAGTAATTTACTGGAATCGTTGGCAAAGATTTATAATATATGTTACTTGATAAGCAAGGTAAATAACAAGACTACAATTTGCAGCTCGTAGTACTAGAGCTGTTTTTCGATTCTTTTGTCAGAGATGCTTATCTAAAATTAGGTTTCAACGATTAAATAATGAAAACAAAAATTTTATGAGATAAATCTTATCAATTTACATCATTACTTAGAATTTTTACGTTCAACAGATAAGCAAAAGAGCAAACGACCAATACGCTAAACTTTGAACAATTCATTAGAAAAAGCAAAATTCTTGAAGTTACAATAAAGCAAGACCAAAATCTAAAAATTATCTAAATCGAGTACCGTGTTTTATAAAGAAAAAAAGGAATTTAGTCCAAGCTATAAGGTTAACTTAGAGTTCTATACTTCGGTGTGCACTTGAGCAAAACATCACCGATCGATAAAAATATTCAAATGGAATGTTTCAATATCTCTCTCAAATTCATGAATAATTAATGTGGACAAAAAGATGGAGTTGTTTTTATTTGGATGTAAAACAAACGTGACTCATGGAAACTGGATGTTTTTCCTCAAAACTTCATAGTCKCCCTCGAATTGCATTCTCGAGCGTCTTATTTGTCTTTCAGAAAATCCAGTTTCCGMGACCAATTACCACAGCATAAAATGCCCTCGATCCATCTATTGTATTCTTTATTANAAATTCCCTTTTTGTGATAATAAAGGTAAACCACTAAGCGGACAAACTGCTATGTATTGAATTTCGACTGGAAAGTATTTGCATTCTATATGCGCTTCATGATTTCAAAATACTTTCGCTGACTTTGATATATAATGCCAGTTATTTTGTTTTTTACTAAAATGACTGAATTGCTTTTATGTTGTCTTTTTATAGAATGTTGAATTTTTCAACATTCTGTAAAGACATTGTTTTTAGGAGAAATTTCTGATTCTGACCGTTGCTTATCTGGACAGGATAATTGAATGTTGGACAAGGAACATTTTTATTTCCAATTTTTAAGATTTAGAGGACTTAATTTTGTTCAAACAAGGTCATATCAATGGATTTCTACCAATACTCTATCCAATAGATATCCCGGTTTTTGCTACTTTTTTGCTAATTATTCTCCTGTTGAACATTAAGGCATTTAAGTTGYAGTACAAAGGAATTTTAATAACGTAAAATAAAGAGCAAATTCAAAGAAATAGTTGGCTTATTTAATACTGCTGGGGGGACGCCTCCTTTTTTAACTGACCTTTCGGTTGTTTGGGAGACGGATCAAAGTTTGATCTTATATATCTTTATACGTACTATGTTGTACTTTTCTCCTTCGTTTTTTCTTACTTTCTTTGATATGACCTATATATAAATGACAATTACCGCAACCACCCTCGAAATCAATCAGCTCCTTTGGTACTCTGTTTTATTAATCAATTCTTATTTCAACTATTGTATTGTTGTAAATCATCTATAATAGTGTGATTAAGCTGAAATTAAAATTGAATTACGCTAAAGTCCTGGTAGGTCAACATTCAATTCTAGCTACTTTTTTACTTTTAAGTTCGTTAGTTTGCATTATCAAATTCATTAATAATTCATAAGGTAAACAAAATGGAAAATTATTGCCGTGACCGCATCTTTATATGAGCAAGAGATTGTCCTGATTTGCATACAACTTAAACTTCGATTTTCTCTTACAAATGATATTTTATCCTGAAGTTTCTTTTGAAATATGCTTTACCTTATGTTGGAATTTGATAAGCAATATAAAATATTCGCGTCCGACCTTTATGGGCTATAAAACTGCTCGCTTGCAGCTCGCAGTTTTAAACTATACATAAAGGTCTCCCGCTCATATTTTATATATTACATAAACAATACTAATAAGGGTGACCTTTATCAGATATAAAGGTCCATAACCATAGCAAAGGTCTCAGGTTTGAAACCTGATCATTGACCAATGCAGGATGTCAACCGATTGCAGTGAACAGCCAAGAGAGCTTCTATTTTACTTTATGCGTATTCAATGTGGGATGACAAGAGTGCTTTGTAAAGTGATTCGCGCATGATCAGTTTGCCCTATTTATCTCAGAGCATATTTGTACGTCAATTTCTCCAAGAATTTTAACGGATTTGAGTTTCAAAGTAGTGTTGGAGTTTTTGAAGCCGTTTAAAACACTCGTGATCGTGTTTTATCAGGTATAAMGATTCTCGCCTTCGGCTCGAATCTTTATAAATGATAAAACACGATCTCGAGTGTTTTAAACTATACATGAATTTGAGRGAAGAGATAAGAGTCGTTAGTAAAAATTGTMTTTTATTTCATTTATACATTGACAGATAGAAAAACGTCCGAATGAATAACTGCATGTGATATGTCTTTCACAATAAAATCGAGTATCCAAGCTCCCAAACCCTACCAACCATTCGCCTCGAGATCGAACAAAACTACATYGGTAACAACCGTACGACAAGAAGGAGAAGATGACRGAAATAGTGATGTAAAAACAACCATCTACACGTATACCACCTCTGCAGCTGGTACAACAACAGATGGCACTACAGTTAATGTTAACCAAAACCCATATCGATGGTATACCGGAGAACGAGGGTCCACCTCTTACAAAGAGGGATCGGCACCTCTAAACAAGCAGCTATATGCCTACGGGCAGGCAGGATATAGCAATCAACATAACGGCTACTCCAACACTGACTCCTCACTGCAATCCGACTCATCGTCCACAAGGAAATACAGCCAGAGCTTTCCAACTCCTTTTAAAGCCGCATCATTGGAATCAAGATCGTTATCATCAAATAGAAGCGGAATTCCAAAAGAAAACGTAAGTACAGAATACCACACTTACTGGCGAAATGGTACTAGTACGGACTCCAAAACATTTAACGTCTCCAACACTTCCAAAGGMAGTGGCCAATCTGTCCCGGTTCTTCATAAGTCTACAACGGACATCGATATGGCGTCTTCTATAGGAGATCATAATCAAATCAACAACAAAGAGTACCGCATATATTCCCTGGATGATACAAAGAACTCAAACACTTCCTACAGGAAGTTACAACCGAACTCTTCMAACTCTACAACAACTAGTTACAACCAAAACYTTAATTCATCTTATGAGTTTCCATCCAATCAAGSCCAACACCAAGATGTTGCCAAACAGGACAAAGTTKTCCAGATAATAAAGCTCCAAACCCAACCCTTTGAGCACGAGCAGACTGTGGAACACATTGACCGCGAGCCTTCAAAAGTCAGAAAATCATATATWCCAGAACATTCCACCACAGAAATCACACGTCGAGACGTTGTGCGAAGACAAAAGCTTAACACTAACAACTTTGAATATCAAGAGTCAAACCAGCAGGAACTGAACAAGGAAGCCCGTCAGGTGAACAAAATTCAAATACCACAATTTTCAACCAAAGAGATCATCAAACAGGAAGAAGTGACCAAGGTACAAAAACTAGATACCTCTGCGTTTAAGGACAAACCACATGAAATCRTTCCCACGAAAGAGASACATAAAGTCAAAAAATTAGAAATACCAGAATTTATACCCATAGAGGTTCCCAGACACGAAACAAAACAGGAAACTATGAAAATCAGCAAACTTCARATACCACAGTTTTCCACAAAAGAGGTCGTYAAACAGGAAGAGATTGTCCAAGTCCAAAAGMTTAACACAAATATCTTTCAAAGCCAAGACACCACCGATGGTCATAGCTATCAGAATGAGACCGTGAAAATCAATAAACTTSAAATTCCAACGTTTCCAACAAAAGAGGTTACAAAGCAAGAAGAAGTTACCAAGTTCAAAAAGCTCGATACCCACCTCTTTCAAAACAATGAAACACAAGAATACAAACCAAGCAGAGAGACCTTGACAGTAAGAAGATTACAAATGCCGGAATTTGCAGCCAAAGAAGTTACCAAACAGGAAGTTGTGCAAGTAAAAAAGCTAAACATCAACCACTTTGAAAATAAAATTCCGAAAGAGCAAGAGCAAGAAGTGNCCCGGTGATGGAATCAAAGTTCATCAAATGGAGGTTCAAAGACAGCAATCGCCATCTTCTGGAAGCACTTGGCAGGTTCAAAGTGTTCGCGGAGTTAAACAAGGACAATGGGAGCAAACGCATACATCTGAGATAACAGGAGATCAAGGCCAAAAGATAACAAGGCATTCCTATCAAGCCCAGCACAGCTCATCATCGCATCAACAGAGTTTCTACCATAGCAGCCAAAATTCCGGAGCAATTCAATTTCGAACACATGAAACAGAACCGAACTTCCCTGCCTTAATGCAAAAAGATGGAAAATGGGAAGTGCGAAGGGTAAGTGTTGATGACAAYACGAGATACGCACCTCAGACATCCATGGAAGTACAACCACTCGAACGGAAGGTCACGTTRGGTGCCACAGATAAAAACGCTCCTCAAAGGAAAGAACTGATGAAAGAATTCAAACAAAAGGCTCAGACAAAAACCTATGAAGATGTACTGGAAGATGGAACGCACGTCAAAAGAATAATACAAACAAGTGGGGGAACTACTTATGATGAGCCTGGGAGTCAAACACGAGTTCACAGTGTCAGGGAGCATGTTGTTATGTCCAAAAGGTAAAGTTTTCCAAATGTTTGGTCATTTATCYYAATGTAATTCATGTGGTGTTGGCACTTYATAAGTCGTGTASAGCATACGCGTCCGTGTTGTAAACTATACATACAAAATCACCAAAGATACAATTTTACTTTCCATTCAAAAATTGTTTCATTAGACCACGATTGATTATAATTCCTGGGTTAACATAAGAATTTTTATTTTAACTCTAGTTCTTCAGAAGAAAAAACGTTTGTTCTTGATGATATCTAACATCCAATATTCCGACTATTACTAAAAACATTTCAATCATATAAGAACGTTTCCTTGTAAGGGTGACAGCAACTTTAAAGCGGTAAAATACTTACTTAAATCGTCTGAAAATTGGAAATACTAACTTCTTCTGTTGTTCACGTCAGGTATTGAAAGCAACCAAGATATCTACAAGAAAAAAACGTCCAAGTTATTTTATCCCAGCGATCTAATTTTTACCTAAACAACATTGCACTTCATACGCAATTGGTGTACGTATTCCATGGATAGTCATCAAAGAAAGCTAGCATAAAAAGTGACTCAGTAACTCTTATTCTGCTATTAGAATTATAATATAAATTGTTATCACTGATGCATATGTATAACTACAAAACGGCCCATTTTGTAGTTACGTTTGCAGAATTTTAATTAATAACATTTGCGCAATATCTTTGACCTGACTATCAACGTGCATATCAATTTCTTTTTCAAAATGTAAACAAGAGTTTTAGATTGACGTTTACTAAAAACGTCAGAGCTAACCACGTGCTTACTGTTTCTTTTTCTGTATTAACGCAACGTTCTTTTGCATTTGTACGTAAATTCGATCGTTTTGTAGTGCGTGAGCGCATCACTGATTCCTTTCAATTACGTTTTTTTAATTTTGTAGAGCGAATCTTTTAAGTCAATTCGGCGTTGGCCGTGAACGTGAATCTAAATCTCTTTATACTAGTTATCAACCTTAAGTTGTGTTATGTTAGATATTTGAGCAATATTTGAGCATTTCAGAGGCAGTTGTACGAAGAACGAAGTCTGTATGTTCAGAAATATTCAGTGAAGAAAATCTTAAACTTTATCCAACTTTCGTACAACCGTCTCCTGAACTCTCTTGTCATTTTACGTGACGACTATTGCTGTCACTGAATTTTTTAAATAATGTATAGGGAAGATGGTGAAAATCATTGCCAAGTAGAGTTAAAGGAAAAATTGTGTAAGCAAAGAGAGGATTTTTATTGATTTTCAAGATAATATACATAGTATTATTAAATGACCTGAAAAATGTT